TAATAATCCAAATGCTTATTGTAAGTTTAATGAGCAATAAGAAGTGCATTGATAATGACGTGTGCGGACAAATCCCCTACACGCTGTGTCTTTCATAATAAAAATATGCGATTATTAAATAAATTTTTGCAGGCAAATTTGCCTGCATCAGCTTACAGTTTAAGGGATAAATATTTTATAAAATAATAGAAAAGTTTTTATTAAAAAGGTTTATAAATCAACCCTGGTAGATTTTTAATTTACTACTGTATATAAAACATATGTAGAGTATCAATGAGTGAATTAGATTTATAGATGCAGGCTTATTTAAGTCACTAGATACGGCTCAATTGTGTTTGATTTTATAAACTGATTTTTTATATATATGGCGTAATTAGGTGATGCCATAAGTCTGCATCTTTAGATAGGTTCATGCTTTTGCGATTTTAATAATGAGTGGCTTCATGATTTTATTAACTATAAATTAATGTACTAAAAATCTTTTTTAAAAACTCCAACTTTTATTCAAAAATTCCGAATTTTTAAAATTATATTTTTAAAGAAATTTTAAAATATTTATTGAAAAATATTTTAAATAATTTAATAAAAAATTTTTGAGTCTATAAAGGTATTTTTATAATTTTATTTTTTGTTAATGATATGTACTAATTTTTTAACAAATTTATTATATAAATTAACATTTTTTTAAATATTAATTTTATTTAGATATTATAGAATACATATGTAAATTTTTATATAAATTGAATATTTTATAAAAAGTTTTATTAGTAACGAATAATTGTTATCAAAGTGTTATAATTTTCCGCCATTACTGTAAGTTTTATAAATCATTGATCATTAAGATTTTCTTTAAAATTTTATTTCATGCGAAACATAACATCGTATAATCATTCTTGAAACTTTAACAGATTTTAAATGTCAGGTAATTTATTTATTAATAAAAAATAATTAGTAAATGGATTTTTCTCAAAACATTAAGAACATCAGATTTGATTTCATACATTGATAGGATTAATTCGTGCGATGATGATATCAGTATATCGTACATGGGCACACCTCCCTAGTTATGAACTTATAAAATTGTTGGATAAAAATTTTTATTCATTTAATTAAATTATTCGATTAAATTCGAATAAATTAAATTTAATTGATTAAAACACTATTCTGGGGCTTTTGGCACAGTTGGCGCGGTTGTTAAAATAATAAGTAACATAAAAATTATGCAAGTTTTCAACCCAACAATTTAGGTATTGACCCGGGCTGTTATACGTTACATAGCTGTATGAGGGTCCAATTTTTAAGTAACACAGTATTTGGCATCACATGGATATGCATTATATTTGAAACAAAAAAGAACAAAAAGGTTATCAACATCTAACGCCTTTAAAATCGTCGTTTTATGCAAAATACCAAATCTTAACGATAAAGGTAAATCTGAATCATCTACTTTGTTGACTTTTTTATACTAGAATATACAGTACATGCAGTATATATATATATATATATATATATATATATAATTCTTTTTTTCTTTTTTAAAAAAAAGCTTTCCGAATTAAATTTTTATTCTAAAGGTTATTATTTTTGTTTTGTTCTATTCGTTATTCTTTAATGTATGTTTAACACTTTTTTTTGTTTTTTTCTTAGATGAGTAGCGCTCAATCAGATCACAAAAAAGAATCTCTAAAAACTGACGAGGCTGTTTCTCTAAAAACAGTTTTACAGACACTCCTTACAGCGGTTAGTTTTAGTGTTTTTATTCTTCGTTTATAGAAATTTTTACTAATAAATGAATCCTTTTTAGTCCTTAAATCCTGCATATAGTGGTATCGTTTCTTTGCGAGAACTTTGCACATATTTTCCAACGTTAATTAAACAAGCAGTTAGTATTATTATTATAATTATTACGTATTGTTATTATTACATTTACTTAGGACTTTTGATTTGCTAGGTTGGAAGCCACTTCACTGTAGATATTAAGTTTTTATCCATCAACATTCAAATAGACCCTATAGTCGAAGTTGATGATGCCAATGTTAGATTGGAATTTAAATCCATTGAAGTTGATGACAAGAAACCAGGTGAAGTCAAGAAACTAGATAATGGCGAACAAGGAAACTGCATTGACCAACCAGAAGAACAAGGACACTGCAATGGCGAACAAGAAGACACAAACAAATAAAAATAAATCTGTCTAAACAATTCCGAATATACATAAACACAAAATTCTGATTCAACAAGAAAACTTCATAATAATGTGATATAAAATTTCACCCAGTCCTATTATCATGTTAATAATTATATATTTATTTAAAAAAAGGTTAATTCGAAAACTAACGCTAGTAAATAAGCCTACTTAATTGCTGTTATATATATATATATTACAGTGCAAAAAAAATAAAATAAAAACAGCAAAGCTGTGATGTTTGTAGTTAATCGATTGACACTGCCAAGCAGATTGTAAGCAAACCTAGCAAGCCGACCTAGTTTCGACCGTAATAAAATGTATCTTACGTCATAATTAAAGCTCAGAATTAATCATAACAATAAATAAAGTGCCGTTTTAGTACCCTATAAAAAAAAGGCCAAATCTTCGTTTTTCATTACGTTACATAATACAGAATAGAGATATAATAAGAAATTATTGTAAAAATGGCCAATTCTGTTTATTATAATGATGAATTGACAGGATACAAAGATTAAAATTTTTATGCGTATATAAAGACAAGATTTTTTTCTGGGTGTGGGGGATTTTACTGGGATGTGTGGGGGATTCTTACTGGGATGTGTGGGATTATGTGTGAGGGGATTCTTACTGGGATGTGTGGGATTATGTGTGAGGGGATTCTTACTGGGGTGTGTGGGGGATTCTTACTGGGATGTGTGGGGATTCTTACTGGGATGTGTGGGGGATTTTTTTTTATGGATGCGCGGGGTGATTTTTTTATTAAGCTTTTTTAAAAACAATTGTTACACAAAGGTTAATTATTTTTAAAGACTGGTCTCCTTGTTCATGTCAGGCCAACGTTATTCGAACGGAACAGTGCAAAACGCTTTTGTACAACGACTTCTTTTAGTACCACCAACAAATACAAAGGAAAAATTATGTTAATCATGCCCAGTGTTTAAAATTCCGCACAAATATGCAGTGCAAAAATTTTTTTTATATTGGAATGTTATTTTATTTTCTGTGCATATTGCACAGTAATTGTTAATTTTTGTGCACGTACACAACGAATTTTTAACACTGATCATGCCCAGTAAGAATCCCCTCACACATAATCCCACACATCCCAGTAAGAATCCCCTCACACATAATCCCACACATCCCAGTAAGAATCCCCCACACATCCCAGTAAAATCCCCCACACCCAGAAAAAAATCTTGTCTTTATATACGCATAAAAATTTTAATCTTTGTATCCTGTCAATTCATCATTATAATAAACAGAATTGGCCATTTTTACAATAATTTCTTATTATATCTCTATTCTGTATTATGTAACGTAATGAAAAACGAAGATTTGGCCTTTTTTTTATAGGGTACTAAAACGGCACTTTATTTATTGTTATGATTAATTCTGAGCTTTAATTATGACGTAAGATACATTTTATTACGGTCGAAACTAGGTCGGCTTGCTAGGTTTGCTTACAATCTGCTTGGCAGTGTCAATCGATTAACTACAAACATCACAGCTTTGCTGTTTTTATTTTATTTTTTTTGCACTGTAATATATATATATATAACAGCAATTAAGTAGGCTTATTTACTAGCGTTAGTTTTCGAATTAACCTTTTTTTAAATAAATATATAATTATTAACATGATAATAGGACTGGGTGAAATTTTATATCACATTATTATGAAGTTTTCTTGTTGAATCAGAATTTTGTGTTTATGTATATTCGGAATTGTTTAGACAGATTTATTTTTATTTGTTTGTGTCTTCTTGTTCGCCATTGCAGTGTCCTTGTTCTTCTGGTTGGTCAATGCAGTTTCCTTGTTCGCCATTATCTAGTTTCTTGACTTCACCTGGTTTCTTGTCATCAACTTCAATGGATTTAAATTCCAATCTAACATTGGCATCATCAACTTCGACTATAGGGTCTATTTGAATGTTGATGGATAAAAACTTAATATCTACAGTGAAGTGGCTTCCAACCTAGCAAATCAAAAGTCCTAAGTAAATGTAATAATAACAATACGTAATAATTATAATAATAATACTAACTGCTTGTTTAATTAACGTTGGAAAATATGTGCAAAGTTCTCGCAAAGAAACGATACCACTATATGCAGGATTTAAGGACTAAAAAGGATTCATTTATTAGTAAAAATTTCTATAAACGAAGAATAAAAACACTAAAACTAACCGCTGTAAGGAGTGTCTGTAAAACTGTTTTTAGAGAAACAGCCTCGTCAGTTTTTAGAGATTCTTTTTTGTGATCTGATTGAGCGCTACTCATCTAAGAAAAAAACAAAAAAAAGTGTTAAACATACATTAAAGAATAACGAATAGAACAAAACAAAAATAATAACCTTTAGAATAAAAATTTAATTCGGAAAGCTTTTTTTTAAAAAAGAAAAAAAGAATTATATATATATATATATATATATATATATATACTGCATGTACTGTATATTCTAGTATAAAAAAGTCAACAAAGTAGATGATTCAGATTTACCTTTATCGTTAAGATTTGGTATTTTGCATAAAACGACGATTTTAAAGGCGTTAGATGTTGATAACCTTTTTGTTCTTTTTTGTTTCAAATATAATGCATATCCATGTGATGCCAAATACTGTGTTACTTAAAAATTGGACCCTCATACAGCTATGTAACGTATAACAGCCCGGGTCAATACCTAAATTGTTGGGTTGAAAACTTGCATAATTTTTATGTTACTTATTATTTTAACAACCGCGCCAACTGTGCCAAAAGCCCCAGAATAGTGTTTTAATCAATTAAATTTAATTTATTCGAATTTAATCGAATAATTTAATTAAATGAATAAAAATTTTTATCCAACAATTTTATAAGTTCATAACTAGGGAGGTGTGCCCATGTACGATATACTGATATCATCATCGCACGAATTAATCCTATCAATGTATGAAATCAAATCTGATGTTCTTAATGTTTTGAGAAAAATCCATTTACTAATTATTTTTTATTAATAAATAAATTACCTGACATTTAAAATCTGTTAAAGTTTCAAGAATGATTATACGATGTTATGTTTCGCATGAAATAAAATTTTAAAGAAAATCTTAATGATCAATGATTTATAAAACTTACAGTAATGGCGGAAAATTATAACACTTTGATAACAATTATTCGTTACTAATAAAACTTTTTATAAAATATTCAATTTATATAAAAATTTACATATGTATTCTATAATATCTAAATAAAATTAATATTTAAAAAAATGTTAATTTATATAATAAATTTGTTAAAAAATTAGTACATATCATTAACAAAAAATAAAATTATAAAAATACCTTTATAGACTCAAAAATTTTTTATTAAATTATTTAAAATATTTTTCAATAAATATTTTAAAATTTCTTTAAAAATATAATTTTAAAAATTCGGAATTTTTGAATAAAAGTTGGAGTTTTTAAAAAAGATTTTTAGTACATTAATTTATAGTTAATAAAATCATGAAGCCACTCATTATTAAAATCGCAAAAGCATGAACCTATCTAAAGATGCAGACTTATGGCATCACCTAATTACGCCATATATATAAAAAATCAGTTTATAAAATCAAACACAATTGAGCCGTATCTAGTGACTTAAATAAGCCTGCATCTATAAATCTAATTCACTCATTGATACTCTACATATGTTTTATATACAGTAGTAAATTAAAAATCTACCAGGGTTGATTTATAAACCTTTTTAATAAAAACTTTTCTATTATTTTATAAAATATTTATCCCTTAAACTGTAAGCTGATGCAGGCAAATTTGCCTGCAAAAATTTATTTAATAATCGCATATTTTTATTATGAAAGACACAGCGTGTAGGGGATTTGTCCGCACACGTCATTATCAATGCACTTCTTATTGCTCATTAAACTTACAATAAGCATTTGGATTATTA